GCGCAGCCGCCAGAGTTCTATTGGAATGGCATCCATAGTTTGCATAAACGTTGGCGTGAAGTGATAGAGGCCAATGGTGATTACATTCATGATTGAGATGATTTTGCTTTTAAATAAACTGGGTTGTAATAATTGTTCATGAAATTCCGAGAACTTTCTTTCCAATCAGATACGTACAGTATAGCTGGGCTGGGTAACGAAATCGATTTCGTTTCGTTTCTGTTTCATTCTTTTGCAATCCATGTCTTTCGTTTTGTTTATATTCTGTTACAATTACGTTACCAATTTCGTTTCTTTTTATTTCTGATCCTTTCAGTAAGACTGCAAAATGGAAACACGTAAGATCACCAGCCAAATCTCAAAATGTGCTCGCTCGGGCCAAGTCGTTCCCAATGGTTTCGCCCCAGATGTCATACACGGGCCTGAATGCTCCTAGCCCAGAACTAACTTAAGGTACGAAGGGAAGATGAAAATCGACCCCCCTAGAATCAAATTCTGGCTTATAATTATTGTAGAGGACCCCAAGGGAACGCCTTGGAGCCACTTTTTGGTACTCTCAGGTCAAGCACCTGACCGTGGCGAATAGTGAAAGGTCAGGATTTGCATGCCCCTCTTCTAAAATCTGTATCTCCCCAACCCTTGGTTGCAGAAACCTCAAATTTGCGTCATTCTCCTCGCCACAAAACAAGTTAAATGATAAATCTAAAAACGGGCTCGTCTTTCTGCTCCCAGAGACGCCGTGGCGCCATTGGTGAAAATTCGAGTTTCGCGAATTCGCTTCTTCCCATGCTCATTCTCCGAAGAAACATTATATCGTGAAAAGCATGCTACAGTTTTTAGAGACCGTCCCCATTCGTCTTCTTGTCAAAGGGCGCGATGATTCAACGAACCGTTTTCCCTGGAAGTTCGAATATATACCTCAAAATCTCCCTATTTTTGCATAGTGCCTCACGTCCATGGTCATTTCTCGAGAAAGAGATTGAAATTCAAAATTTCAACAGACAGAATTATGGAGAAGCCTCTTGAGCAGCTTCAGGTCCATTTTCAGACGAGTCTGTTCACCCCCTTCAGATCCTTAGGGATTTTACTGAACCCAAATTTGAACATTTCCCGCATGTCAGCTATATTATGTACTGTTTCTCCTCTCTGGGCATGAGGATCCCCATATAACTTACTATAAAATGTAGGGATATGTATAAGGATTTGATTGACACCAAGCTTGTGAAATTCATTAGAGTCATTAGGAGATAACAATATCTTAAACAGAATCGGTAGGAAAATTCACGCTGCGTTGGCCGGCTGTTCCCAGTTGCGGATTCCCCCACCCCCCGCCCCGCTCGCACAATCCTCTCGTCGTTTGTCTCGCCGTCTCGAGGTGTGACTGGGATAGGACGCAATTCTCTTCCGTCCCATCCACCTCATCGCTCTCAATAATCCCATCCGCGATGCAACCGTGCCAGTACACTCATCTTCCCTGATCCATTCACTCTTTCTGCGTATGGAGTCTTCATACTTGTACATTAAGTTTTACGTATGAAATATCGAGTCAACTACAAGGGATATTTTTACTGGAAGAAATGTCATTTAGTTATGCAAAAGCATTTTCCTCAACGGAATTAGGAGCTTTGTCGTCGGAAAATTATGCTGTATACATGCAGCTGAATGGAATTTCTGATCATTCCCACTTCTATTAGAATTAGTGGCAGATAGAAGTAACATGTATTTTCCCTACAAACTCCATTTCTCTTTCTCTTTTTGAAATTGAAGTTTCGAAATTGGAATGAGTAAGTTATGGCGGTTCCATCGTTGTTTCTTTGCGAAGGAACTTGTATATTCCGAGGTGTACGTCACACGTAGCTGAAAATCCAGATTCGGGAACTTTACCGGGGAAATGTCTCGCCAAGTCTTGAATGCTCACAACGTTCGGATGAAGAGCATTCATGTGGCTTCTCTTTGTGACGGTGGTATTGCCTTATACGAATGAGGGCACGAATAAGGATTCGGCATACTTAATTATCTTCTCGGCAGATATCACTTATGTCTCTCATGACACAATCAGAATATTAAGAAACAAAAACGTAATTGAGATATACTTATATAATAAATTAATTACCGTGTCTGGATCCATTTTCCCCCTCTTTATGCAATTCCATATCGGGGATACCGTCTACAATAAATTGCTGTATATGATAATTGCTGTATATCCGTCCACATCCGATGAGCGAGGTCGCAAGACGGAGTTGAAATCAATATGTTCAACCCAAAGTCTGCATGATATTCAGAGCCGGCGTTTGAGGGCGTCTCGCTCGAAAGGGGCAGAAAAGATCGAATGAGAGGGATACTCAGTAGCTTGCCCAGGAAATCAAAATGGGAGGATTGACATGAGAAATGGTAACCCATCCAGCTTATATGTTTAAATTAATTTTTTTTTGTAGAATCTACCCTGTAAAATGTATCCCAAGGAGAAGGGGAGAGGGGAGGGGGGTTATGGGGGTCATAACCCACCCCTCTTGGGCACGCCAATGGGGATACTAGTACTCATGACTGATTTTCACGTACTGTATTTTGTACGAGCAAGAAAATGGGTTCGACCCCCTGCTGAAGATGAATAATTCTAGATAGCGGAC